GAGAAGGTTGGCTTCAAGGTTTGTCAAACTCAAGGTGGATTTTTCATCTCCTGAAACATTTCCTCCAAATAGGCAGAAATTCAACGTCTGCAGAATCTCCCCATCACTGTATCTCCTTGCTGGGGAAAAACTGGCACTGCATTTTTGCACGTCCCAAATAGAGGTAAAAGGCAGTGGAGGTGGAGGGAAATGGCAACACTAGTGTCCAATCATTTAAGGTTTTATACATAAAAGCTATATCCTAATTAAACCCAAGTAACATGATGTAATGTGCTCTTGGTGATCCACTCAGCCAGGTTAGGATTGCCATGACTGCACCCCCCCTCCCCGCATTAGCGTTTCTCTCATTCATCTGAAATAACTAGATGATGAAGTCCACCCTGCTCTGCTATTGTTGCTATCTTTTTAATAGCCCTGCTGCTCTGCTTTTAACAGCAGCCTGTCACCTAGAAATTTGGTAGGGAACCTTCACTTGCTAATTTTATTTTATTTATTTTATTGCTGGGCTGACACACACACAAAATTGGCAAGCTTATACCCTCTCCATGTAGTCAGTTTATCCATGGACTCAGAACAATTCAGTTCACCTAAGTGTCTGATTCTAAGAGTGTTGTGCATATCTGTCAGGCTGTTCACAGGCATATGCAAGTTCAACCAAGACATGGCATACAAGTGAAACTGATGACATTGTTGCAGGGGCTCCCTGGGGCCAATAAGATAAGCCAGACAATCTTCATGTTGAATGAACTGGTTTTGCAAAGGCCTCGGAGCACAACTGCAAGGTCTTGTTCAGCAAGAAGAAGATAGGAGCAATGTACAGTAATAATAAGAAGGGCCCCAAAGCCTCTTGGTTGTTCCTTCCTGAGATTATCACAGGGTGAGCAAGTCCCTTTCCCAAAGGCGCATGAATAATCCTCTCTGCTGGCCTCTTATTCACACCCGCTTTCAGTGTCACGTCTGACCTCTACTGGAGGGAGCATGTCACTGTTGGCCTTGGAGCTTCCAGTGTGCTGATGGTGCTTGCCAGTTGTCCCATCTGTGGCTGCCCTTCTGAACAGAGTTCTGATGCAAAGTCACCCAAACATTGCAGAGGCCAGTAGGAGTAATACGTAAGCACTATATGACAAGCAGGCAACTGAGGCCTACCACAAGGGAGGCAGAGAGAATGTCCTTAAGAAAAATTTTGTAGAAATTGGTTGGGAGGTATAAGATCAATGTGATTTCTGTTGGGATCAACTCTGTTCCTAAGAGAAAAGTTTCCTTAAAAAAAGAAAACCCCACCAGTATATATATATATTTATTTATTTATGTATATATTTATATTTTAAAATGTAAGCCATATCATAAGCCCCATGAACTCGCAAAGCAGTGTGGTGGTTTTTTGTTTTTTTTTGCAAATGATACAATTCTAATATAAAACAAATAGTCAAGGAGAAAGTATTGGATAGAACTCCCCATTGATCCAAGCTCCTTCCAGAAAGGTTATTTTAATAATAATAATAATAATAATAATAATAATAATAATAATAATAATAATTAAGTTGCCTTCTAAAGGACAGGATCAACAAAGTCAGATGGGCTTCCACAGGAAAAGCATTTAGAGGAAGGATACATCTAGGAAAAATGCTCAGTATCTCATCACTGCCAGTGGAGCAGTTAGGTCGTTTTAGACTCTGGACTTAATAGTCTTATGGGGAACTCATCTTTAGATGGGAATACTCCAAAATGTGGTAAGACAGCCTTGCTCTCTTTGGGACCCTCTTGCTGTGTGGGTTGCTGGACTTTTGCCCCCCTGACTGGCATCTGCCAAACCTCTTAACAGCACTGACATACAATGCAGGGACCCCCTCATTTGACGAGCTTAAGGCATATGCCACAATGGCAGGAATCATTCTTTCCTTCAGCAAACTGCACCCTACACTTTTCCCAGAACTGAACATGGGTACTCTGTATTTCTCAATTCTGTATTAAAACTTTGCAGAACAACACTTAAGAGAACATGGTGTACCTGGCTGAAGGTACAGCTTGTACAACATATCTCTTCCTCAGTTGAGGGGGGGGGGGAGAGTCATTGTGTCTCTAAACAGATTAGACACTATTTCAGAGATCTGGATCTCTCAAGTATCTCAGATATCTCACAGGTTTTGCACTTGATGAGCCCCTCTTCCCCTTCACAAAAGGCCTTTATGTGTTATACAAGTGTAGATTATCATGTGTGGCTCTGCAGAGACCTAGCATCAGCACTCAGCCTGGGCAGGCACTAGTCGAGGGCCCCAGAGGTTTTGAAGGGCTCCTCACCATTCACTGCATTTACTGCTGGGCCCCAAGATGCTTTTCAGCAGCTCTCATCCACATGGCTGCCCACCATTTTAGGTCACTCAAAAGGTAGTGCCCCAGCCCAGCAATCTGTGACATTTATTGATTACATAGCTGTATGGGCCAGGGCCTGGCATTTTGGTTAACTTAACCTAGACGGTTCACATGATAAAAGTTCCAGTTCAAAAGTGCCACTTCTCATCCAGCTCTGAGAGGTGTTTGTGTGGTAGACGACAATCAGTGACACCATCTCAAAGCAACAGATGCAGTGCTGGTCCTTCTCTGGCTGGGGGGACTTTTGCAGGGCGAGGCCCCGTCATTTACACCATGCATGCGCATAACTTGCTGTAGTTATGTACAGTCATCACACATGACGTTCTGTGTGCAGATAAATTGGTGGGCGTGCCCACACTTGGAAACCACGACACATGGTTGGCAACTAAGTCTGCCATGTCAGTGTCTTCTGATCTCTTGTCTTAAAAAATAGGAACTATAGTGATACATTTGATAGGAATGTTGTGAGGAAAGACTATACAAATAATATGTTTCAGCCAGCTCCCGAATTCCAGCTCTTAGTTGCATTCCTCTCTGGGGGTGGGGAAAACCCTGCAACCCTTTGCAAAAGCAAAGGAAGGGGTGAAGCTATGCCGTTGATGGCGAGCTAAACATTGTGGGCCACTATAACTGGCTGGCAAACTGGGGCATAATGGAAAGGAGGCGATCAAGTTTATTCCCTCCCCTAGCTGTCTCCCCCATAGTGCACCGTTTTGTAGTCCTATGTAAGCAAATGGCTGGCATTCACTTCTGTGGGTCCCTGAAATGCATGGGTCTCTCCACACACACATTCAGCCTATTACAATGATGCCATTGTCCCAGCTCGGTCTTTATATGTCATATACTACCATATGAATTTGGGGTGGGGCACTGCAGAACAGAAGATGCTTGCTTCTCACTGCTAACCCCCACCCTCCCATGTAGGACAAAGTCAAAGGGCTGCAATTGGCAAGACTTCAGGGGAAATGGGAAACCCATTCTTTCAAGTATAGATGGGGTAGCCAGGGGAAGATTTGGGCTGCAGTTGGAGGCACCATTAAACTGAAGTCAAACCTTGTATCCCGCGCTTACACTTACACTTCAGTTGTGCCCTCTCCCCAGCATTGCTACATGCAGTCTTGTTAGTTGTTTCTTGCATGTGCCAATTCATCTATTCTAGGTTGCTCCAGAGGGAACAACTAGGAGGTATTGCTGGAGGTATTTCAACAGAGGCTCAAGGAGGTGGTAGTTACGTTTTGCACTGAGCGAGGGGAAACAGTAGATTCCCAACTCTGTGATTCCATGGTTTGTACCCAATGTAGTGCAAAGTTACCTATTGGTATACTTGTTGCATTGGCAGAGCATTGTTGCACAATGAAAACCGTAAGTACTGAAGATTAAGTACTCTCAGCATCCCTAGCCATTGACTGTGCTGGTTAGAGGGCACCACGTTGGCTGTGATTGCCTTCCTTGAACACGTTGAGATTCATGTTGATGAAAGACAGAAACCTCATACCAAAAGCATTAATAATTTTGCCAACTATCCCAAACAGAGGGAAAGAACTTAACACCAGAAAACATTTTGCATGCGGGGAGAGGCCCAGTTTGATCTAATAGGGCATGCACTCCAGTTCTTCTTGTCTCAGATTCCTTGGTTCTGGGGAACAGTGATCTGTCTTCCTGGGGCAGTTTGCCATCAGCCTAGATTGCAGGCACAGCTGTAACTATCAGTGCCATTCACTAGAGTCAGATACATTTTCTGTGTCTACACCTTTCTTGTATGAAAATAGGAGGCTATCTCAATCTTTCAGAGGAAATGGTTCTCCCTTTGAAGAAAAGCAATGCATTCTTTTTAATGTGTGAAATAGATCCCTATGAACAAATGCAATCCCCTGTAACTTTATAATTGGAATGTATGAGGCACTCTGCTTTAAATCAGCTCCAAATTCAGTACAATACATTTCCATTGATGAATTTCAGTTTTACATAAAAGGTCAGTTAAAGCCTTACTCTTCTCCCCCCCCCTCCCCACCTCTTTTAATTCTCTTCCACATCAGCAGATGAAGTCAGACCTGGGTGTTCCTAGTGTTTCCTTAAATACCAAGAAGACAAAAGATATTTAAAATTGCACAGGCTTTTGTACTTGATGGTTGTGGGAGGGAAACATACCAAAACATGCCCTTTTCTAAGATGCATCAGCTTTTACACCTTCCTGGAAAATACAAAAGGGTATAATAATATTTATTTTTTTAAAAAAACAAAAACCTCTAAGAAAGGGGGGGTGCACCCTTCTAAACAATAGAAGACCTTGTTATGGTGTCACTTTCCACGTCATATGAAAATATTTTTCCAAAGTTTGAAAGCATTTGTAAAAGAAAAAAGCACCACAAGTATCTAGAGATTTCCCCCTCTCCTTTATATTTTTTAAAAAACAAAAACCCAACAAAGCAAAGTTCTTCCCTCCCCACTCCCTTCTCTTTCCTTAAAAGAGAGAGGGGGGGGAAAAGAGTTTAGAAAATTTCACTTTTCTATTCACTGCAGTTCTGGCCAAAGTAAAGCCCTCTTTTTACATTGACGTCAAGATCTTTACTAAGATTAGGGTTTCATTTCTCTATTGCAGCAATTAGCCAGGGAATGTATAAAAGGCTTGAGGGAAGCCGGCTAGAACTCCAGAGGGAAAGCACTTTGTACCACAGGCAGATAGTGAGAGGGAGAGAGAAAGAAGAGTGTGGCAGGAAAGAGAGAGAGAGAGAGAGAGAGAGAGAGAGAGAGAGAGAGAGACGGAGGCAGGGGAGAGAGAGAAGAGAGCAGAAAGTTTGTGTACAAAGATTTCTTCCCACCCACCCCTCTCCCACCAAACGAAAAAAAGTATTGTTTCACCTGAGAGCTTTGGTGATAAAAGGAATGAGAGAGCGAGAGTGCTAGAGCTGCTCAGCGCTTTTCAATACCTCAGAGTTAGAGGAAAGTTAGCAGTTTGCTCAGCTTCAGTTTTAGAACTGCAAGCAATTGGCAGCGCAGCTGTCTCTCCCTGTAGCGGACTGAAAAGGGGCTACTGGCTAAGGAGAAACAACAACACAAAGTTTGACTTAGGAGTTTCTGAAAAATTAAAAGCAGCTCAGGGTGGAAAAGATTTTCATACTGGCGTTCTGAGTTAATGTTTTTCTTCCTTCCTTCCTTTCATTAAGCCCGTGCTCTGCTGCACTGAGGCAACTCTACGAGAAGAGACAGGGCACCATGAGTTTTTAAGGAGCACTTTGTTTTTTGTTTTAATTATTATTGTTAATGAGAGCACAGGGCATGACGAGGGAACTCAAGGGAAGCCTCTGAAGAGCAGCAGCAAGCAAGATGGGTCTCTTAAGTGTGGACCTGTTGATCACCCTTCAAATCCTGCCGGTTTTTTTCTCCAACTGCCTCTTCCTTGCACTCTATGACTCGGTGGTCCTCCTAAAGCACATGGTGCTTCTTCTGAGCCGCTCCAAGGCTGCACGCTGCGAGTGGCGAAGGATGCTCACGTCGGAGGGGCTGCGCTGCGTCTGGAACAGCTTCCTACTGGATGCCTACAAACAGGTGAGTTGGCGGACACTGAGTGGAAGGCAAAATTTTCTGGTGGGGACATTTGTCTCCACTGCGGATAGAAAGGCAGCTTGGGATAGAGTTTACCGCAAGAGCGCAAGGAAGATTTGAGGCATATGGTCTGAGCCATTTATCACAGAAAGTAACAGAGTCAGGATTTGAACTCTGATTCGAATCCTGCCTCCTGGTTTGCAGCTTAACTTATTCAAATGCGTGGTTCCATGAAGACTTTTTCGGGTGGGAGCAAAGGACAGGGGTAAGTTTTAGGCAGGGAGATCCACTCCATTCAAACTATATGGGTTTCATTACAGTGTATGAACTTGTATAATAGGAAGTGCATCTGCGATGCCCACTTCTGGACCAGCATTGTATTAACTCTTTTAAGAGTTTTAACCGCTAATGATAACGTGTTGTTGGTTCATTTTTCACCGAAGCACAGAAAGACTCTTCATAACGTTAAATATATACATGCAATAAATGGTGAATTCCTACATGTCTCTCCTTTGAGTGTAATAATAGAATCTGTGTGGGTGTAAATATGTGCAGGACTGTAGACTGAATAAGCAAGCATATAATCACTATATCCCACTTTCACAGCTATCAAAATTAGCCAAGCCACCAGCCTTATGCTTGGCATGTCCTCTTGATTTCCAGTGTCTAGGCAGAATTGAAACTAAATATATCATTCTGCATGCCAAAACAAGACAGGTTTCTATGTTTGCCATTTTGCAGATGGGAAAAGTGAGGTGGGCAAGGGTAATAATGTCAGCCACAGAGCTGCCATGCAAACTCCCACGTGAGAAGGACCCTACATTCAGCAAAGGGATATGGCACAGATATGCAGAACAGTTAGTGATTAGGAGGCCTTCAGTAATACGTGGGTAGTAAACTTACTGGGTGATCCACAAAGAGCTTCCTCAGCAGGAACTCCCTGTGTTGACTTCAGCAACCTCTTGTTGGGGCATGTGACAACTGGGTCAATAGACTGAGCAACATAATAGAAATGAAAATCGTGCTGCTTTACTTACTCACCAGGTTTTCATTTAACAGCCTGGTGCTTCCCCAGTTATCATTTATAGGATTACCACTAGTTATGGTACTGGGAAATGTTGTGCTTTTATTGGTGCAAGTAGCAAAAGAGAAGCATTAAGCTAAGCTCTCAATGAAAACAGAATGAAAACTAATGAAAACAGAAGTACCTCTCTTTACATTCTGGACATTAATAAACAAATAACATGCAAATATGCCCATCTTTCATAAGCTAAACTGAATTATCTACTGCATTGTATAACAAAGGAGCTTACAGTATAAATCTTGGAAGTCCGTCCCTTTTCATTACAGTATGTAAGAATATGCTTGATTTCCATTCATGTCAAGGACAGTGACGGCATCTTCCCTAGGAAAGGGCACTATCTTGTGACAGCTACCAGGAAATTGAAGGGTTGTAGCTCAGTATTAGAGCATCTGCTTTGCATGGAAAAGGTCCTAAGTTCAGCTCCTGACATCTCTAGATAGGGGCTGGGAAAGAATCATTGCCCAAAAGGCTGGAGAGTTGCTGCTAGTCAGTGTAGACAATATGGAGCTATGCGGACCATTGATCTAACTCAGTATAAGCCTGCTTCCTATGTTCCTAATTGGTTATTTAGGGTAATATTGCAATCTAGCCATTCTTATGGCGTGTGCATATTTCTGAGTGATGCTTTGCACCATGGAGAGCTCCCATGGTTAAATCAGGAGTAATGTGGCGGGTTAGGCACCCAGGGACAATAATATTCACATTCAATATATCCCTCATGATTCTTGAATAGAAGAGTTCACGGGACACTCTGCAGATATCCCAGGGTCCTCCAGAAACACTTCTAATTGCATCTATAGAATATGCTTATAGTTGACCCAATGCTTTCAAAATATACTCCTGCTTAGAATTTAAGTGATACCTTGAAGTCTGAGCACCACAGACTAAAATTTTTGAAATTATTATTTATTAAACTGCATGCCACAAAACCTCTTTGGCGTAGTTTAAATTGTGACTATCTACTCTGGTGTGTGCTGGAGCAACACTTTGTCTGCCAGGTTGCAGCTCTGCAAAGGTGAAAACAGGTGTAAAGATTTGAAAGCGGACCAAAGTAACACAATGGCTTTAACACAGGGGTGGGAAACCTGCAGCTCCCATTATTTTTGACCGTTGCCCATGCTGGCTTGGGCTGGTGGAGTCCAACAACATCTGGAGGAAATCTCTGGTGACGCTTATTATATCAACAGATGGTATGGTATGGCTCTTGGCTGAGTTTACCTTAAGGCAGTGGCAGAAAGGGGGCATACATTCTCCGGTGTCCTTTCCCCAGTCCGCCAAGTGTTCTTGCTGACACTGTGGGCAAAGGGTCTCAGTAGCTCCAGGGGGAGGGCACTGGAACAGTGATGTACATACATAGTCCTATCCAGCCTTATCGCTGGGGTTAATGCCTTGCCATGTTCACAGCAGTGGTCACAGAGGAAACAGACTCCAACCCAGAGTCGACTCCCTGACTGGCTAGGAAGAGCATAGGGAGCTGTCTTATACTGAGTCAGGCCAATATTAGTAGCAGGTTTTCAGGGTTTCAGACGGGACCTTTCTCACCCTACCTGGAGATGCAAAGGATTGAACTGTGGACTGCCTGCCTGCAAAGCAGATGCTGTGGCACAGAGCTATGGTCCTCCTCATTAGCTTCCCTAAATTTTCAGTCCCCCTGTGGAGCAGGGCTTCCTCAAATGAGCAGGTGCCCAGCTGCCACGGCAATCCTTCAGAGATAATGATGGCAGTGAGAGAGCAGGTGTTCCTCAGAGTCCTCTCTGTCCACCAGGTGTTCTTGCCGTTATACACTGTTAAGCACCTGTAAGTTAGTGCAGCCTTCCCCAACCTGATGCCTTCCAGATATTTTGGACTGCGACTCCTGTCAGTCTCAGCCAGCACCTCTTGTGAAGAGGATCTGCTCACCTGCAGTGGCCAAGAACTGTAAAACCCTCCCTGTAAAACACTCCAGAAACATACTTCTCATACATAACTGACTTTGATATGCAGGGACAGCATGCAGATGCTCTGTGCATTCCATCTTGAAAATGTAAATACTCCCGGATCAATAAAAAGTTAGGCCACTGCTCCTTTCCCCTGCTTTGTATCCTTTCACAGCAAGAGCGTATCTAAAGCAGACCTGGAGAATATAACTCTCGTAAGAGTTCAGAGGCAGTGGTTGTGAATGGTCCTTTGAATGTTGAAGGTCATGCAAGATTCTGTAAGATTCTTTAGGGGAGAGCAGAATGCTAAGGTCTCCACCACAAAGAATGAGAGAGGAAGTGTGCAAGGTTATAACTCCCACAGAAAGAGAGAGTACAAAAAGAGCATATTCCAGAACAGTTGGTTAAGTCAGCTGCTATCTCTTCCCTGTAGCCTTGAGCAATACGTAGAAAAGAGGCTTGGATCTCATTTCTATGAATAGTGTTTCCAGGTTCCACACACTGCACTGCTAAGATGTCTGAGCACCACCACACTGCCCCACCATATAATTTAATAAAGAATGCAACAACAACAGCAACAACGACACATTTTGCAGAGGAGTTTGCGGAAGGCCAGAATGTGATGTAGGGTCACAGGGTGGCATGAGGAAAAGAAACTGTGTGGAAGGCCAGACAATAGGGTGTTGCGGGAGAAAAAAAAGCCCTCCCCTCCTTTTGCTAAGCTTGCTTTCAATTAACATCACATTAACTAGTACAACTTCCAGATGTGAGATGTAATTTGCGCATTTGTCTTTTCCCCCCTTTTGTAATGTACCACTGCTGGCGGCAGAAGCAGACACCTCAGTACAACTGTGTTGTTAGGAAGCTGGCTTTTAGGGCAATAACCATTAGCAACAATGCTAAATGTAAAGCTGGATGTTGGAAAGCATTATTTAATGGGCTTATTCGATATATGGGTAATTTGTTGCTAAAGCTGGCATGGGCAGATTCTGTTTCATTAGAGAGAGAGATTTTGATGATTCTCTAATGTTTGCTCATTTCCCCCCTCTTTTGTATATTTTTTACCCAGCTTTTAGTAGGTTTCTACATACTTGGTGAACTTTGCTTTCCGATTTGAACACCTGCCAGATTCAGCATGGATTTCCCCCCTTCTTTTTGCCGTACTGTTCCCTCCTTATCGTTTGAATTGCAGCCCCCAGGAGGCAAGCACACCCTGCGTTGCACAGAGAGGTTCTTTATAACAAGGTTAATTATCATAATGAGGGTTAATGGAGCCAGTGTTTAAGGCTGGGTATCTTTACATTTTAGAGGAAGAGTTCAAAGACAGGGCTTGTTTTTGAGAATACCTTGTGCTTTCAACTCAAAAAGGGTTCTGTAATGTTGCTGGATGCTGCTAGGATGAAAAAGGCATCTGTATTCCATCACATATTTAGAGAGTGATGTGACTGCTGGGAAAACAGGATGATGAAAACCCCTGATTGTATACGTGCAGGATATGCACAATATTCCTACGCTATATAGGTCATCCGGATGAGTGCCAATATAGACTTTGTGGCAGGCGATGCCACCATGTTTGATCTATACACAATAACGCATATGTTTATAAGTAACGCGGGCAACCCACCAGTCACAGGGGGGAAACAAAATCTTTCCCTGTAGAACAGGTCATGCTTCAGCACTGTGTGGAACCTGTTTTTATGAAACCCAGAAAAAAGGAAGAAAGAAATAACCAACAGCAAAATAATTTTCAAGCGGCCTAAGCTGTGGAGGCTGGTGCCCATTGAGACTGGTAGGGTGGTAGGCAGAGAGACCCAGAGAGGGACAAAGCCAACTAAGTCAAGTTTCAGAATCCTAGAATCAAAGAGTTGGAAGGGTCACCGTGGATCTTCTGGCTCACCCCCTTGCAATGCAGGAATATGCACCCATACGGGGATCAAACCCGTAACCTTGCCGTGATCAGCTCCACGCTCTAACCAACCGAGCTGTTGTAGAGGTTCTTCTCCTTGCTGAGTTCTGTGCAGAGGTGGAAACTGACAGGCAATGACACCCCCTGAACTGATTGCAAGTGAGAAGTCCAGTTTGGCTAAGGGCAGCCTGAAATTGGTGGAACAGGACCAACCTCCACATTACATTACATCACAGCTCAAGAAGCAGCTCAAATATAAGCATCTGAAGTTTGTGGCACTAGATAGATAGATAGGTAAATGCAAAGGGACCCCTGACCATTAGGTCCAGTTGCGGATGACTCTGGGGTTGCAGCGCTCATCTCACTTTACTGGCTGAGGGAGCCGGTGTACAGCTTCCAGGTCATGGGGCCAGCATGACTAAGCCGCTTCTGGGGAACCAGAGCAGCACAAGGAAATGCCATTTACCTTCCCGCCAGAGCGGTTCCTATTTATCTACTTGTACTTTGACGTGCTTTCGAACTGCTAGGTTGGCAGGAGCAGGGACTGAACAACGGGAGCTCACCCTGTTGCGGGGATTCGAACCGCTGACCTTCTGATCGGCAAGTCCTAGGCTCTGTGTTTTAGACCACAGTGCCACCCGCATCCCCACAGCGCCACCCGTGTCCCAGATATATTAGACTCCAGTGGAAACCCAGAAACCCAGTCTCTCCAGGGTGTTTACTCTGTTTTTAATCTCTGTTACTGTGCAAGGAGCCCAGAGACACATGGAGGACACAGTGGGCTTTAGTTTCATTGCCATCTCCAGACCAATGCAGGGGAATGGGCTGCATGAAGTCCTACAGACAGCTCTCTTTGTTCCGGCTTACCATGTTTTTTGGAAATGTTGATAAGAGTCTCCAAGACTGAAGTTAGGGTGGAACCATAAGAAAACAAGATCAAAGGCCAGCATCCTGTTTCCCACAGTGGCCAACCAGCCGCCTCTGTTAAGCCTACAAGCAAGACATGAGAATATCAGGTCTCTCCTGCTGCTGTTCCACTACAGCTGGTAATTCAGATTCATAGGAATTTAGGATGCTGCCTCATCCCAAGTCGGACCACTGGTTCATCTAGCTCAGTATTGTCTAAAGCAGGAATGGGGAATTTCAGGCCTGGGGGCCAAATGAAGGCCTTGAGGCCTCTCTTTCTGGCCCTCAGGAGTCTCCCTAGGCCACAGTCCTAACCAACCCAGCCATGTTGCTTACTTGGATTGCTATGCTACAGAAAACTCAAGGGTTTATGTACAACTACCTCTCGATCTGCAATCCAACTCAGCAATAAACCATGGGTTTTCCTGGGGGGAAATGGCAGGGCAAACAAGGTGGGGACGAGCTCTGTGTCACTGCAACTTGTTTATTTAGCCCACGTGTATCTAGGTTAAGTGGCAGCTGCTGCACTTTTCCCGTGTGTTTTGCGCCCTCAAAGCAGAATGGACTTTGACAGCAGCATTCAACAAGACCTGGCTATGGACAGTGTTGTCATGGGCTAATTTTCTTGTGCAAAGCAGAGACAGAGAACTTGTGGATTTCTGGATGCTGCTGAACACCAAGTCCCATCAGCCCCAGCCAGTGTGACCAATAGTCAGCAATGATGGGAGCAGTAGTCCAATAACAACAGGTTAGCCATCCCTGATCGAAAGGTTTTGGTTAAGGTCTACCAGGAGTCAAGCCAGCCATTTTCTTCCATCCTAATCTATCCAAGCATTTCCTTTAGTCTTTCAACTGATATCTATCTGTCCAGCTATCTATCCATCTATCTGTCTATCTCAAGGTTCTGTTCTGTTCTTTGCCTTTGATCTGGGAGAATTAATATCAGGACCCCAGTTTGTGCATAAGAAGAACTCCTTGGTTGCACACTTGTTCCTAGAATGAAGCAGCTACAAACCTTCCCAGAATGTAATCCCAATATGACTTCTATTAATATGAGCAACAGTGTTGTGTAGCATCACGGCAGAGGCAACATATTTACAAAGGCAGACAAATCAGTGTGTGGAATAACGGATAGGCTTCTTTCTGACTTTTGTCTATTTGACACACCAGTGGGAGAGTAAACTATTTTGGCAGGCTTTTAGGGCAGTGGAACAAGGCCTCTTAGCCTAAGCCCATCTGCTTTCATCATCTTTGTTTACTTTGGCCTGGAGTTCAAGGAAGTGCTTTTCTTTGTATTTCATAGCAGTGAGAGTATCTTATGAAAGAAGCTCTCTATTAAAAAAACATTGTCCAATAGTTCTAGGTCTAAAATAGTCTTACTGGATGTTTATTAAGAAATAGTGAGTAGTTTTCTCCCAAGCTGACATTAAGAGTGCTCTGCTTATAGCAGCCTAGAAGGCAGATAATTGATCTCAGTAGATTATTCAGGCGCAAACATTTACAAACTATTTTCTAAAAAGCAAGACCACAAATTGTTTCCTATGTACTTAGGGAAGGATGAACTTCCTAACTCTAGGTTTAGGCCTGGGAATGTGTTCATTCCTGTGACTGCCCCCAAATCCACAGAAGTTGAAAGGAAAGGATAACATCATGCACTTGAGGGAACGAGTTCTTTTCCTGTTGAGGATATATGTACATGACCCAAGATCTTTCACAATATCTTGAGCTTCTTTGATATTGTTCCTGACAAATGTAGCATTGTTCCCCAAGATTGTTAGGGAAGTCCTTGGCAGTGCCTGCTCTGATTCTTTCCTCATTGAAGTCTACGCATCAAGGCCTACTTCAGCTGCAAGATGAAACGAGCAGTTGACACAAGTGCTCCCAAGCATCCTCTCTGGGTTAGTGGAACCCAAGTGTTTCCTTGGTATTCTGGGGAGCTTTGGGCTATGGAGCAAGTTGGGACAAAGACTAGAGTGCAAGTGGTGCAAGCCTTGCTCCAAAGCTGATCCAACACGGATTTCGTGCCCGTGTGGCAATGCAGGCTGTGAGGAAGGTTTGCTTTTCAGTTAGCATTGTATCTTCTAGTAGCTGGCTGGCAGTGTTATTTTGGATGGACCAAAGGTAACTTACTCCCACTGTGGTGGAGGGACCTATGGAGCATTTGAAGACCTGCTGTGACCAACTGGCCTCACATTTTGACCACGTGCAGCAGAGTGGGTTTGACTGTTTGGGTTCAGGAGGTAATCCTTCACCATGTTAGAGGATACTCCCTTGAAAGACAAAATGGAATGGATTGGAATAAGTATTTCCCAGTTGCAAATGTCTGCTTCTTGGGGAAAGTGGTGAAGTGAGTTGTGATGGCGCAACTGTAAGCATTCTTGAATGACTCGGATTATTTGGATTAGTTCCAAGCTGAGTTCAGACCTGGCCACGGGACCTAGTTGGCTTTGATCACCTTGGCAGACAACCTTCACTGAGAGTGGGGCAAGGGGAGTGCAATCTTACTCCTGCTACTTGACGTCTCTGCAGATTTCAATACCATTGACCATGGTATCCTCCTGGACCAGCTCTGTGAAATGGGAATGTGGGGCACTATGCTACAGTGATCCCAGCACATATGGGACCGAGTCCAGAAAGCAGCAATGGGAGAGTGCTTTGGGGCACCTGGCAGTTCCACTGTGGACTGCTTCAGGATACTATTTTATTCCCAGTGCTATTTAATATCTACATGAAGCTTCAGTCATTAGTTTGGGGGCAAGGTGCCGTAAGTGCAGTGATGGCGCTCAGCATCATTTCACCATAAAGTCTGAATCAGGAGAGGACGTGCAGGACCTGGACTGGTGGCTGGATGTAGTGGTGAGATGAGGGCAAATAAGCTGAACTTGAATCCTGGCAAGATGGGGGCACTGTGGGTTAGTGTCAGAGGAATTGCTCAGTTGCCTGGATGGGATTGCACTCTCTCTCAAAGGGACAAGTATACAAAGTGAGGTGCTTCTGGACACAGCTCTGTTACCGGAGGCTCAGATAGCCTCAGTGGCTAGAAGCATCTTTAACCAGCTGTGATTAGTGAGACAGCTAAGGCAATTCCTGGACCAGGAGAGCTTGACCACTGGTGACTTCCAAGATTGGATTACTGCAATGCACTCTAGGTAGGGCTTCTCTTGCACTCGATCGAGAAAGTGCAGCTACTGCAGAATGCTGCAACATGGTTGTGAGACCCTTTGATCAGAGACGCCTTTGATCAGAGATTTGCAGTGGTTGCCAATTTTTTACTATTGGTATATAATGCCCTTAATGGCTTGGAGCCAGTTTTCTTGCCTTACCTCATAGGTGTCCACTCAAGTCTGCTTAAGTCTGCAGAAATGGCCCTATCACAGGTGCCACACATTACTTGGTCCACACTTGTAAGAATTTTTTCTTTTCGTATTGCAGCACCTACACTTTCAGAACTCTGCCTATTGACATCAGGCAGGCTCCTTCACTATTCTTTTCAACGCCTGCTTAAAACCTTTTTATTTAGACAGGTTTCCAGAGACATACATGTTGACATGTTTTAATCTCCTTTTAGTTTTCTGCTTTGTTCAATTGTTTTTAAAATGTTTTAATTCTTGTTTTAACTAGTTTTTATTCATATTTTTAATATTTCTTGTAAACCTCTTAGAGGTTTTGTTACAATCAGGTGGTTTCTTTGTGTGTATGTGTTGTTGTTGTTTTTTAAAAAAACTCTGCTAAGAAGCCAGCAGATATATCCAGGCCCATTGTTCTCCTTTAAGAAATATTTTGCTCATTCAGGTGAAACAGGAAAATATTAGGAAAATAGATGATTCAGGACTCTGATAGTGGGGTGATGAGGAAAGATGATAGTTGGCAACTAGTAAGCAGGTGGCACTTGCATACCCTCCAACATTTATCCGATAGAAATAGGGACATCCCATTCCATAATGATAATATTACTATTTATACCCCGTACATATTACTGGGTTGCCACAGCCACTTAGCGTGGCTTCCAACATATATAAAAACATAATAAAGCATTAAGCATTTTTTAAAAAAACTTCCCTATACAGGAATGCCTTCAGATGGCTCAGGGGTTGCATAATTCCATAACTTCCAACATTTCTCCAATAAAAATAGGGACATCCTACCATACCCTCCAATATTTCTCCAATGAAAATAGGGACGTCCTAAGGCAAAGCGGGACATTCTGGGATCAAATCAGAAACCGAGACGGCTTCTCTAAATCAGGGATGTCCCTGGAAAATAGGGACACTTGGAGGGTCTGCACTTGGGTGTGTGGGGGAAGATTTTCCCTGGCTACTTACGGTTGCTATTTTTTAATGGGTATGATTTTACACATATGCATCTTGCATGGCCTCTGAGCAACTTACCATAACTTTGGATTCTGTAGAGGAAAAAACAATAGTAGCTTTGGAACTGTCCTCTTTCCAGTGGCTGATGACAGTCTGGATGAATCACACTATAAAATGACAGGTTCCTAAGGGCTTGGATGCCTGTGAATGGAACAAAATCAAAGAGAAGGTCTTCAGAAGTATTTGAGAGCTCAAGGGGATTCTCTCCATAGCCCTAATACATCATGTCTATGTTTGAACAGCCAGCACCACAGCCTGCTAATTATCCAACAATGTCTATCTTCTGTAAGGACTTAACTTAGCTCAGAATTCAGAAGTCTCTAATGCTGTGCTTTAAAAACATTAGTGTACAGATTCTGAAAAGCCTTATTATATTATCCCCTGAAAATAAGTGCAAAAAAGTGTCTAAATGTTCTGATGCTTTGTCCATGGGGCGTTAAATGAACAATGTTACTACAGTGGTAAGTTCTATTTCTGGTTAGCGGCTTATGAAAGGGCCTCTTTTTCCCCTACCTCTTCCACCTCATTTTTCAATCTGCATGCAAGAGCAACATTAATCATGCCCTTGCTACTCGGTGCAGCTTTAAAGTGAGATCCCTTGAGTCTGGGCAGTTAGCTAAAAATGCAGATTGAACCTTATGCACAAACAGACGTTCATCTTGTCCAGTATTTTCTTTCTGCAGAAGTAGCCAGCCTGCTACTTCTGGTCTGCGGGTGCTCAGAAGCAGGACATCGTGGTCATATAGGCAAGGTTGTGCTCGTATTGTCTGACAACCCATAAAATACTTTGTGGGAAAGGCCATGGCTCAATACAATGCTTTGTATGCAGAAGGCCTGAGGTTCAATCCCCAGCAACTCCAGGGAGGGCTGGGGAAAAATGCTAAACCCTACACTGCCAGTCCATGTTGAGAGTGTTGAGTTAGATGGGCCAATGGCCTGACTTCATAGAAGGCAGTTTTCAGTGTTCCTATAGTGCTGCTAAATGTGGAGGCTTCATTTTAGCTTATACAACCCCTACAGCTATTGACATAATGCAATGGGCCTGGATAGCTCAGTTGGTTAAAGCATGGTACTGATAATGCCGAGGTTGCAGGTTTGATCCCTGTATGGGACAGCTGCCTATTCCAGCATTGCAGGGGGTTGGACTAGACAATTCTCAGGGTCCCTTCCAACACTGCAATTCTGTGACATCAATGAATTTGTTGTTGTTGTTTAGTCATGTCTGACTCTTCGTGACCCCATGGACCAGAGCACGGCAGGCACTCCTGTCTTCCACTGCCTCCCGCAGTTTGGTCAAACTCATGCTGGTAGCTTCGAGAACACTGTCCAACCATCTCGTCCTCTGTCATCCCCTTCTCCTTGTGCCCTCCATCTTTCCCAACATCAGGGTCTTTTCCAGGAAGTCTTCTCTTCTCATGAGGTGGCCAAAGTATTGGAGCCTCAGCTTCATGATCTGTCCTTTCAGTGAGCACTCAGGGCTGATTTCCTTCAGAATGGATAGGTTTGATCTTCTTGCAGTCCATGGGACTTTCAAGAATCTCCTCCAGCACCATAATTCAAAAGCATCAATTCTTTGGCGATCAGCCTTCTTGATGGTCCAGCTCTGACTTCCATACATCACTACTGGGAAAACCATAGCTTTAACTATATGGAATGAATATAATATAGTGCAACTGACTTTCGGGGTTGGTGTGTTGTGCGACAAGTACACAGAATGCAATGTGATTGAGTGTTGGGGGGGAGGCTCGGTTATTTTCATTGTACACAGGTTGTATATTGACAATAAAGGTATTATTAAAATATGTCTAATCTTTCTAGAAGCCATTTGAAGCATTGCCTCACGTTGCAGCAATGAATTGCATAACATTGTATTACATGCCCTTTTATGCAATTTGAGCCAACAGTCCGTCGATTTCATTGGACAATCCTGTGTGAGAGAGAGAGGGAGGGAGGGGAGAATCATTTCACTTGCTACTTTTGAGGTCAGAAGATTAAATGCCTTGAGATAGATCAACTTCCAAGCTTCACTGTGGAGGAGAAGTAGATGAAGCAGAGAACCATAGCCCAGTTTCCGCATCATCCACCAGCGAGGCACACAGAGTAGCTGGCTGGTGTAGCTGACAGAAGTCCATGATTATAGGAACTCTGGAGCCTGAGCTATTGCGTGTGAGTAAAATTCTCTGGGTCGGTTCCTCAGAACGGCTCCCTTGCCTGCCTTTGTCTGTAATTTCAAAAGAGGTTTGGCAGAGCAATAATTTTTATTCCCCCCCCCCACCCGTTTTTATTTTATTTTGGATAACATTTCATTGTGGTGTGGTGTGGGTATCTTTCCAAGAGCTAATTCCACGCACCCCCCTCTCAATAACGAATAACAACAACAAAGAAACAAAGGAGCCCCACGAAGCGGGTGATCAGTGAGGATGTCAATCCCATTCCTGAGCCTGCTGGAATAAAGAGGCCCTTTGGGAATGTAAGAGCTTCATCAGGACCAATTAGCAGGACATGCTGCTGGTTGTGTCTGAGCATTAACTACTGGGCAGGGTTTGGGGGGGGGGGTTTCGGAGTGGCTTAACGCTAGCACGGAACAAGGCACCGACCTAATTACTCCTCCGCTAGAGCAGAGGAGGCCTTGTGAATGTCTGCTTGGCAAGACTTTCTCATTAAGGACCAAAATCTCCAAACAGACGCAAGGACTCCTGGTAGGGGGGAAAACATTAACACGATAGGTAACCTGTGGCCGAGAGAGTTCCTTTGTTGCTGTGGGAAATGCAGTGATGCTAGCCACACCAGAGGGTTGCTTGGGTACTTTCCAGATATGTGATGACGTGAAACCAGCTATTATTTTGCTTCCAAAGTCAACCTTTATCCCTTTCATTTGTAAGTTACTGCGGCTGGGAGGGAGGCACAGAGGGCACCCTTCCTTTGTTGGGACATAATTAAACCAATGCCCTTGGCAGCAAAGCGGTTTTGGTGCTTGAAAGACCAAATGATAACAACGCCCTACAGAACTAGGTCCTTCTACCTCCCCCTCCCCGCCCTCCCCTTCCCAGGTTTCAAGGATCTATTCATTTTAAGAATAGGATGAAGAGTGGAGGATTCAAAATTAAGACACTATTGCTTTCCTTTTTACTCTTTGGATAAAGCAAACATCACCCCCCCCAGCCCCTGTTCACATTACAGCTGCAGGAGAAGCTTGGTTTTTTCCCTGCATTGGAGCAAAAGACAAAAAGCGCATCATGTATGGGGCAGCAAATGTACACGTATTATGTGCTGCAATTGCTTGATGTTAGTGGGACTTGCTTCTGAACAAACATGCGTAAGATTGGGCTGTTAGGCAAATATTCTGTTCTAGCCATTCATTGAATCCATCCATCCATCCATTCTCTTTTATATCTATATATGTTTATTCCAGTGATTTGATGGGATGTATGTACCGGTATATCTTCACACTTCAGAAATTCTCTTTGAAATTCCATATTTTACTTTGTCACAATTGGTTGACTAAATTGCAAGGCTTTGCTTCATGAATCTTGAGAAACGTGTACAGTAATCATGCCATCAAAGGGGGATTTTATTTCAGGCTTTGTATGCAAACATTTATTGCCTTACAGCACAATCCTAGCCAAGCTTCCCAGGGGCTTCTGGTTGGCCACTGTAAAAATATGAGGTTGAAATTAGATGGGCCTTTCATCCAGCAAACCCAAACTTATGTCCTTATATCTACTCAGAAGTAACTCCTACTAAATTCAGTGGAGCTTGCTCCCTTAGGATTGCCGCTTTAGTTATAACAGCTATGTCTGGGTCTTGAAATAAATCTCATGTAACAAATTAAAAGATTCCCATTGTTACTTAAACCCTTTAGACTACTGTATGTATTCCATGTGCTCGTAGGATTGCAGTGCAATTTAAAGTTATGGGATCCATTTCGGACTACTTAGCGTTCATTTTAAAACAGTTTTCTAGCCCCGTATGAACCAACCTGGACCATGTGATCATCATCTGAAGCCCTTCTTCATGTGCCTCCTCTATGAGAGGCTGGGGGGGGTAGCAACATGAGAATGGGCCTTTTCTGTGGTGGCTCCCCACTTGTGAAATGCTCTCCCCAGGGAGGTTCACATGGCGCCTTCATTACATATCTTTAGGCACCAGGCCTTTGGCTAATTAAACAACCTTTGGCCTTTTAAACTGGGCGTGGGGGTTGTTTGTTACTGTTATGTATTTTTGTGTTTTTATATAATAATAGTAATAATAATAATAGAAGCTCAGAAACCATTGTGGGTGCACAGTTTGGCTTCTAGTAGCTACAAATAGGCATTAATTACAGAACATTGTTCTTTGCTCCTCTCCTATTGTCCTCTCCTCTCCTCTCCTCTCCTCTCCTCTCCTCTCCTCTCCTATTGTCCTCTCCTATTGTCAAAGGCAGTCTTCCCTAACTTTGGAAGTTGGAACATATTGTTGGACTACAGCCGCTATTAGCTCTCACCATTGGCCTTCCTTGCATTCTCTTTTCTTCCATTTCCCCAAAGTCTGTTGAAAGTAACCATATATTCGAAGATGTGGAGTCATTGAACATAAGCAAATATCTGTACAGTTCTTTCATTACTATCTATCTATCATCTATCTATCTATCTATCTATCTATCTATCTATCTATCATCTATCTATCTATCATCTATCTACCATCTATCTATCTACACAATGTAATATTGTAGGCGTGTTATTGCCTGGTAGTTTTTCTGCCACAGAACTGTTAAATTATCACTACAGCAATAGAGCAAGTATATATACAATAATTCAAAACCAAAAGGGGGGGGGAATAACAGGAGAGTTATTATATCAGGAGGACCATTCCACACAATATAGGAATTGGGCCTTTAGTGTTGTGGAGCTGAACCTTTGGAATTGCCTCTCATCAAATATTAGTCAAGGGCTGTATCTGTTGTATCTTCTTCTTCTTCTTCTTCTTCTTCTTCTTCTTCTTCTTCTTCTTCTTCTTCTTCATTTCTTATAAACCACCCATCTGACTGGGTTCCCCCAGCCACTCTGGGCAGCTTCCAACAAAAATACAGCATCAAACATTAAAAGCTTCCCGAAGCAGGGCTGCCTTCAGATGTCTACGAAAATTATTGCTTGTTGTTAGTTGCTCTTGTTGTTAGTTTCACCATCAATCATTTGGTGAAAGCAAACAGGGTTTCCAGTAGCGTTTTATGTGACAAACATAATCTTATTTGAGCAGTTGGCTGCTATTGGTTGAGCAACAGTGAACACAAAAAGCAAATGGCAGCAAACAATAGTAACTCACTACCTCTTTCTTTGTTTTCAATACTAGGTGAAACTGGGTGGAGAAGCACCTAACTCCAACGTGATTCACATACCCAATGGTACCAGTGACAGCAGCAGCAGCAGATGGAAAAGCTCTGGTGGGAAGTACGGCACTGAGTGCCACCTATTAGACTTTGCCAAATCAGAGCGCCCGCTGGTGGTCAACTTCGGCTCGGCCACCTGACCCCCCTTCACAAACCAGCTGTCGGCCTTTGGCAAGCTGGTGGAAGAGTTCTCCAGTGTGGCTGACTTCCTGTTGGTCTACATTGATGAGGCTCACCCATCAGACGGCTGGGCTGCTCCTGGTATCTCCTCCTCATTCGACGTCAAGAAACATAGGAACCAAGAAGACAGGTGTGCAGCTGCTCAACAGCTTTTGAAGCGTTTCTCCTTGCCGCCTCAGTGTCAGATAGTGGCAGACTGCATGGACAACAATGCAAACGTGGCCTACGGGGTCTCCTTTGAGCGTGTGTGTATTGTACAAAGACAAAAAATTGCCTACCTAGGGGGCAAGGGCCCCTTTTTCTACAACCTCCAAGAAGTTCGACTTTGGTTGGAGCAGAACTTCAGGAAAAGATGAAGTGTCCAGACTTACTAGAGGAAAATACGTTGCACATAGTGCCCCTTTAAAGCAATGCAAAAGGGAAAGAAATTGCACCCTGTTTTGGATAGGCTTTTTTTTTTTTTGGCCTGTTACTGAACAGCAGGCCAAATCATATGGCCAGATGAACACAACAGACCATAAAAGCAAAACGAAACCCGAATTCCCCGTCATCTTCCCAAAAGGGAGCTGAGAGAAGTGTTCTGTTTGGGACAGAAAGACTGGTGAGATGAGAGTCCTGTGCCGTGAGCAGGTGATCTTTGTGTTGAGGTGTTTGGTGCAGAAGGAACCAAAAGCATCGCTTCTAGAACAGTTCGTTGAAAAGGCTATACCATCATTTGAAGGGGTATCTCTTTGCCCTCCCGTGTTTGTCCTGCTGAATTCAAATGTAGCAAAATTAGAAATTTGAGGCTTGCAAGTGCCATGAAATAGAACTATTCCTTTTTGATAGAGAGGGTACGGCTTTATAGATACTGCGAGTTCCAGCATCTGCTACAAACTGGCTAGTCAGTTGACCTCTTTTTTTGCTGAAAGTATTGGTGTTCACAACTAGAAATCTCTCTTTGCAGTATTGTACAGCTGCAATTCAGAAAGCTTTTAATCTAAACAGATGATCTGATGCTAGCTGGTTTCCATGCTTTTGAAACAAAGAGATTCAGCTTATACATTCATGCATAAGCCCTGCACTGTGGTCTTCAAATCTTAAGGAGACTTAAAGATTTCACAGCACCACCCAGCATGAAAAACACATATGTCTATTTTAAGAACATAGGCTATATCTCAAAATCTAACTTCGTGATAATGTTGTGGCAGAGCAGTCCACTTTGCGCCGGATCACTTCAGACAACCCAGTTCCACTGGATTCCCACCACTTAGAGGCAGCAACGGGATGGGGGGACGACATGTTAGTTTGGATTCACCCCTGGGTTATTTTGCCTTGCCAAAGCCAACTTACATAATGAAAATGTACATTGTGTAAGATAAGGTGATAGTCCTACCATGCCTGAGCTTGAATGCATCCAAGATAGCTGACTCATGTCATCTTGTGTGAGAAAAATCTGCTAAGATAACTCACTTGGGTCTCAGATCATCAAAGACAAAGTGTTCTTACCATGTCAGCATAGATCTTGTATTCTCATCAGATGAAGAATTTAGGGAACAGTCACATGGCAGCATTTTTTAATATGCAGTTCCACTTGACCACACCCAGTTGGGAGATCAGAAAATGTTGCCCTCTGGGATCCCACCGATGAAAATTCTGCAGCCTCTGCTGAGTCTGCACCAGACGATTCAGCTTTGTGGACCAGCACAGGCAAAAGAACACTATCAGGGACAGCATGTGCTGATACTGTGTGTCTGATCTCATCATAAAGAGCCGCATAAATGTGCCCTTAGGATTGCTATGTGCTTAACATTATGCCTGCACTCAGATAAGCTCTGAACAGGGAGAAGCTCATGTGCTCTGTGCTGTCAGATTACCTCCATGTAGGAAAAATATTGTGTGTGTCGTAATCTTTAGAAAGAGAGTGAGGGAAGAAAAGTAAGGCAGGAGTAAGGCAAGAAAGAAAACACAGGCCAGGAACTTCGTTGTGGGAGAGCCATTACAACATTTCAGACGTTGGGACCATTTGTGAATTCCTTCACCTGGGCTTTCTTGGACTGGGTGTACGTGTGTTCACAAGCTCGTAAGGCCACATCCTAGAAGCAACCTTGGTTTAACACTAGCTTTGGATGCATGGAACTGAAACAATTTATTAATCAGTGTACTTGCTTGCTTTTCTGAAAAGAAACAGCAGCCATGGGTGCAGCTGCAACAACAACAGTACAGTTAGGATTAGAAGTTACTGTGTGTTTAGTAGGTGCTCTTTTAAAAAATAATTTATTGCATTTAGAAGCCATGATGCAGATGGTGTATTTTTGTGTGCGGGTGAAAAGGAAAGGGGATAGGGAGGGAGATACACACCACTTTACCTCATTGGTATTGAAACTTTGTCCATTAGTTAAATGTGGTTGCGTCGATATTGCCCTCCCTTCTGTTCTAGAAGTTTGCAATTAGTTTTTAATCAGATTAGTTCGGTGAAGTTAGTTCAGCATGAAAGAGGTTTCACCCTCAGGGCTGATGAATTGCAGAGCTGCAGAGGGCCAGCTGCCTTTGCCCAGCTTCATTTTCTAAGGAGCTTCCTTGGAAAATTCATGTCAGCCTCCTAGGTACTACTTTCCTTCCCCTTCCCCTCCACCACCATTTCAAGCATGATAAAGAATAGAAATACAATAGTTGGTATGAGCTTTTCAGGAGTAGTTTTGAAAGTGACACTGAGCACAAGCTACCTTAAACACACACACACACACACACACACACACACACACAAAACAGGGGAAGTAAAGCAATTTACATCAGTGGTGGAAACCATTCACCAATACCCAGAAGTGTTCCTTCCCCACCTCTTCATTTATGTTGCCTCCTTATTTGTAGATTCAGCCTATCTTTATGTTTTGATGTTGGCCAGTCCAGCTCATGCACATGGCATTTTTAGAACGTGCTTCTCTCCACTGCAGGTATGCAAACTTGGCAGTGTGGTATGAATGCTATTTCCCCCTCCCCTCCCCATGTCCTCTTTCATTCCTTTCCTCCCTTATACAGACGCACAGCACTTGGCCACACAAATACCAAGAGAGGGTTTTGGAGAAACTGACAGGATGAACGAAGTGTGGAAAGCTGGCAGTTGGAAGACGTAGGGAAGGGGTGTGCTCTTGGGGTCGAGGGTATTGCACAGGTGTAAGGGCTTGAGGAGGGAAGTAAAGAGGGATAGTGTTAGGGAAGGTGGGCTTCTTTATCTCGGGGTGAAGAAGATACTACTGCAAAGAACGGGGAGGGAGATAGACACAGGAACAATGGTCAATATGGAAGGAATGCAGGTCTTCCCCAGCCTATTGGCAGGTACATGAGACAGTGGGATTGTCCACACTTCTGGATGTCTCATGCCCAAAATGACATGTCCGAGTGGTGTTCTGCTCAACGCATTCCTTTTTCCAGGGGAAAATCTGTCTTTAGTGCTAAATCGATGCAAACATCAATCCAGAGAAAACCCAATTTGCCATTTGCTCTGATTGAGCACTAAAGAGCAGTTTTCCCCAAGGGAAAGCAGCAGTACAAAAGGAAGTATGGATGATCCCCCATTTCTTAGCTGATTCTTTTTAAAAACAACAACAAAGAACTAAATATTAGTACAAAGCCTGATTTTACCCTTGTGAAGAATAGAAGCAATTATCAGATTAACTGTGTGTTCTCAACTATATTTAATCAGAAGTAAGTTCTACTGATTTCAATTGACTTACTGTCCAGTGACTGCATGTGGGATTGCCACCTAATTCATTTTATTCAGTATCCTGTTTCAAATAGTTGTCAGGTTTTATTATAGAGGCAAATTCAAAAATCCAATTTATGGCTTTTTCCAGAACAATTTAGCAGTGACTGTTAATGCTTATCTTTTAAAACCACAATGGAGACACAGTTAAGCGCTTTAAGCACTGTGTTAAAGAGGTGCTGTGCTAAACAGGTTTGCCTGGAAGTGAAAACCAATAGGTTCGAAGGGCCTGAATCGCCCAAGCCTACACATGGTAATGCCAAAGTAAGATCAAATGTGTTCAATGGGCCTCACAAGTCAATGCGCATAGGCTTGCAGCTGCACCTCTGGATATAATCAATGACTTATGAATTCAAGAAGTTCATTTAGTGGTCTATACAATTCCAAATAATTTATTTGATCACATTCAAATTTGCTGTCCTGTCATTTCACAGAATGTTCCTTTCTCTCACAGTATTAAGGAAAATGAGGCATTTGGTTCCATTATTGTTTCCTTACACAACCACAACCTTGTTGCTTTATTTTATTTTTTAAGTCCCTCTATGTTTTTGATCATTTTTATCCTATTTTGTTTTTTTGGCAAATGCTCTATTTTCATGTTGGTGAACATAAAACACAAGTCACTATTCTGGATGGTGACAGAAGCTGGTTTGCATGTTTATGCTCTTTATATTCATTCTTCAGGCTTTTTTTTTTTAAAAAAAAGATTTTTAAAAAATTGTCAAAAATTCTAATTCCTTTTCATTTATATGCCTTGGATAGAAAGACCAACCAAAGTGTTTTCTTGACAGTTGGAACATACCTTAAACTCAGAATAGGGATTGTGAGTGACTAAACTATAATACATTTACATATCTAAAGTCACTTCTATTTTGCATGGCTATTTTCTTCCTTTTGGTTTTCCATTATTCTGAGATTTCTTCTTATGTGTGAAATGTTTGTTATTCATAGATGTCTGTTCCTCACACAGTGTGAGGATTAGGAAACGGACATATGTCAAAGGAAAATCCACCAGCTTTCTTTCTTTCCAAACAACACAGATTTCTGACTCTGTTCATAAACTTAATTATGCCCATCAGCTCAACACAATAATCATGACAGTGTTACCTTCTTAAAAAAACTCCACCAGAAAACAGCAGACCAAAAGCCCAGAGGAAAATACATTTTTTCCCCAAAAAACAACAAGGAGAAGACTTTTGTGACTTCAGTCTTGTTAGGGATATTATTTTGCTATTGTTCTTAAAAGGAAAAAAAAATAGATTTAAGGTTTTAGATTTTGTGAGCAGCCTCTCACCATTAATGATAAAAATACTGTAGATGTTAGGCCACCCACTGAAAATACCAGCGCCGACTCTTCAATCAGCAGGACTTAAAAACATAAAATTAGACTATTAGGCTTCAGGTATAATAATGAAAATGTTTCTAAAAGTATATGTTCTGATATTAATTGCCCAAATGCAATACGATACTGGCTTTTGTTGGAAGCAGGATACTGGTATATAGATGGATTTGTCACTTTTCAATTCATGATGCTCCCAAGTTATAAGAACCCACCAAAAGGTCTATGTGCCACTCTGTACCACCAGTAGGATGTAATTCCTGAGTATGTATTATAAATCATGTTTGTCTCTGATAGTAGTTTGCACAGCCATGTTCCAGATGGGGAATTAGGCAGAAGCAGTGAGTTGACATATTAAGGAGTAAGATAACAGATGGAACCCTACCACAGAATACACTGAGCTGGATCAACGTAAACAAGCCAGTGTGGTTAACTAGTCCTAAAATTCGCAAAAGGAAGAACATAGTGTTAGATCTAACTTGCAGCATGGGAAGCCAATCCCTTTATGCCTCACATCTTGAGTTTATGTGTGGACTTGTGAAGAAAAAGGGCCTCACACAACCATCACATAATAAAAGCAGTCTCATGCTTCTCTTTTACAGATGCAAATCACATGTCAGTGAATCAAACCCAGTGCTGTTTTTCAATATATACTCTAGGGTGATTGAGAAAGCTTAAGGTGAGCTCACTTAAATGAGGGGACTAAGGCTGAGTATTCGGTTGAGATCATAATTGGTATTCTTTGTGTGGCCTTTCGTGTTGCTGGATGTTGGATTTAGATCTTTACAACCTGCATTCAATAATATAACCAAAGCAATAAAAGATGTATCAGGCAGGGAATACTGGCCAGTTATATTCAACTCCACACCATGTCAGTTCAGGACTCATATTGACCAAACTTTGGCTGGACCTAAGACTTGGTTTGCAAGGATGGGAGAAGAGGGTGAAGCAGAGATGTTGGTGTCTCAATGAAGATCACTGACAAAAGAGTGTCTCACTCAGTTGGTGTTCGGATGCTTTTGCACTTGCATTTCTCTTTGCCTCTCTGTTTCTGCCTTCAGAAGTAGGGATGTATTTGATATCCATTTAATATGAGTCCTGAGTCAACATAGTGAGGAAATCACTTGTTTGTGTGTATGCATGTATCCTTGTTTAGATGTCACAAATACACTCTGTAGAAGAATCAGCAAAAACATGTTACAATATTGGTGCTGCGTGGACCATGTACTTTATAGAACTGTGTTTTCCACCTTGTATTTTAATAAAAGTGAAAGAAGAAGAAGGAAAAGACTCCTTTTTTTCTGTCGTGGGTACATGACACAGGTTCCCATAGAACTTCCGGACCCTGAAGTGGTGAAAGGCCATTTTAAACTGCCTTTGGAGAGGCTTGATCACCAGTGATTTAGGAGAACTATGAAAGTAATACATTCAATCTGTGAATGAAAGAGTAAGCAAAATAATTGGATGAGGCACAGTCGATCCAAAGTTAAACTCCAGGATTTGGGGGGGGGGGGACTTGGGAGTTTTGGTCTTCTTCAAGACAAAATGGAATGAATTAAATGGAGGAAGAGTGTCCTTGCCATTATATTGAAGTGGCAATGACTTCTAGCTTCTGCTGTCGCCATCATGTCTGGCTGTCCAGATGCTTGGGTGAGAAGATGCATCACCCACTAGCAACTAAAACATCTGGCCCTGGTTGTGAAATAGCATGAATCTGGGGTCACCATAGGTCTTTTGAGCAGGAACTGGAATGTGCAAAGCAGCCAGAGCATTTAAGCCCGGGGAGTTGACATTTTACGCTATTAAACTCTTGAGCAGGATTGGGGAACCTGCGACCCTCCAGATGTTGGGCTTCAATCCCCATCACCCCTGACTGTTGGCCATGCTGATTGTGGCTGAAGGAGTCCAGCAACATCTGGAGTTACCCATCTCTGCCTCAGAGCCCACAACTGCCTTTAAATGAAATCTTATGTTTAACTTTACATTCATGTTTGCTTATTGTCAGCCAGTTTTCTGGGAAGTCAGTTACCAGGTACAAAGCTGGGCTATAAATGCTTAAAATAGATAAATATAGTCTATTGCAACATTGTACAAACAAAATGACTTTTGAACCTGATTCCACAAGAGTGGAATATTTGAGAGCTGTTGCATTCAGGTCCTGCTTGCGGGTTTCCCACAGACATCTATCTGGCTGGCCACTGAGAAAACAGGATGCTAGACTAGCATACCTCCCAACACTTCTCCGATGAAAATAGGGATGTCCTATTAAATAATAATAATACTCCACCCATCTGACTCTGGGCGGCTTCCAACATATATAAAAACATAATAAAACAATAAACATTATACAGGGCTGCCTTCAGGTGTCTTCTAAAGATTGTATAGTTACTTATCTCCTTGGCTCAGGGGTCACATAACTCCATATCCTCCAAGGGTTCTCCAATGAAAGTAGGGACTTTTCCCTTAGGAAAAGTGGGACATGCTGGGATCAAATCAGAAACTAGGATGACTTCTCTCAATCTGGGACTGTCACTGGAAAATGGGGACACTTGGAGGGTCTGGTAACTAGATGGGGCGTTGGCCTGATCCAGCAGGGATTTACTTATGTTCTTAAGATTCATACAACATCAACAAAATGACAAGTGTGTGTTTTGAATGCTGAAGCTCCTATGTTTAATCCTCCACATCTCCAGGTAGGGCTCAGAAAGTCTGCAACACTGGGACTCCACTGCCAATCAGTACAGACAATGGCCTGGTTCAATATAAGGCAGTTTCCTACTTCCCAGACATGAATGGCACCAGTCATTAAAACACTTCTATAAGAAATAAATTCATCATTCGTTAACGGCTGACCAATTAGTGATAGCATAGAAACGGAAATTTACCAAATCACCTACAGAACAGGATTGGTATCTATCTCTATCTATCACCATAAATTAGGGCTCAAAATGGGAGGTGGAAATTTGATCATTTTACGAAAGACCAGCAGCCAATAATCTCATATTTGGAAATGGGAGTATCTCAAATGAGCCAAATGAGTACAAAACGAAATGTTTGAATGAATTGCTTTCTGTTTCCACTGTATGCCGAGTGAACTAAAATAAATGTGAGCAATAAGGAGGAGAAAGAAGCTAAATGTAATTGCAAGTGTACTTATTTTTTTTTAATTATTTGTAGGGAGGGAGGGGGAGTCCTGTGTTGTGTGTTTTGTGTAATTGGTTACCAAAAAAATCAATAAAACAAAGTGTTCCACAGATAAATAAATGACAAAAATACCAAATAAAGAATGGTGAGGTGGGGGAGAGAAATCTTGTCCATCTCTAATGGAAGCAAAATAGCAAATTTCAATACCCAGGTTTATGCAATGACAGGAAAACACACACACATGCATAGCCACTCTGTTAACAAAAAAGAGCAACATTCTTAAGACATCATTAACCTTTCCCCAAGTATAACCTTTCAACAAAAGCCCTAATTGCTGGCTAAAGACCTTGATCACAGACAAGTGATCAATTTTAGCTAAAGTCAGTATCTTGTCTATGGTTCACCGCATTAATTGACTCACTACATTTTGCCCGCCTGCCTGCCTTCCTCTAAATTGCCAGTCGCGTTAATGAACCCACTGGCATACATATGTTTTAAAGAGACTAATGTGGCATGAGACATTCTGGGAATGCCAACTGTTTGTGTCAAACTCTTGGTCCTCAAACGCCAACTGGGGGTGGTTGTAATATAACATTTAGTTTGAATTAAAGAAGATTTTCCCCTCCCACCCCACCCCCACTCGTACGCACTGTAAGCATTTGTGCAATAACTTTAATGACCATAATGTAGTTTCTAGACCAATGGGTTAGACCCTGAAGCAGAACTAAAATGGGGAAAGGGGCCATCACAAAACACCATTGTTCCTATCAACTGTATCCTCCTCTGTGTTTTGTTAGCACCTAGATATTTTCTTCAACGGGGAGCCATTCACAAGCGACTTTTTTTTGTAAACTAGAGTCTAGCATGCAATGAGAAAGGAGGCTTTATGCAAGATGAAGCATGGAAGAGGTATAAACATTCTTTTCTTTGATCTAACTGGTAAGAATTTAAGGTAGTTCCCCTCTCCCCTTTTAGAATTTTGTATTTTAACAAAATAATTACTTTTTTTAAAAAATCTAACAGATAAATCATTGCTAATAATAAACATATTTTGCATAGTATTTACTAGTACAGCAAAATTACACTATGTTTCTCCAGTTTTTAGCTTCCGCCTCCAGAAATAGGCACTGTACTGTAAAGAAATTGCCTCCGTTTGGCTTGAGCTCTGCCAACCCTTATTTGATACATGCATCTTTCCATTGCTAAATGGTCCATATAAAGCTGTTATTTTCTATGCCCCACATATGCCAAACCAACTTGCATCAGATTTGCCGAAACATTATTTTTTTCTCCTCTCTTAAATCTATGATACCCAACACTTTTGAATATTGGAGTGACCATGCCACCAGAACAACTGTTTGGATGCTAAACCCTGCCACATACGAACTGTGAGCTGTGACTGTACAGAGAGAGGGAGAACTCTAATGAATTTTCCTAGAGGCATATTAAAGTGAGGGACATAGCCAAGTATAGCCAAGCTATAACAGCCTACCCAAACCTGGTACCCTGCAGATGCTTTGGATAACAGTTCCCATCACCCCAGCCAGCATGGTCAATGGGTAAGGATGCGGGAACTTGTTGACTAACAACATCTGGAGGGCATCAGGTTTGGATTTGTTTTTGCTCATAAGCAGAAGTATATTTCATTGCAGTTTGGCTAAGAGGAGCCCGCCCCTGGAAGCATCTAGGCCAGAGGTTGCTGGAGATGTTGTCTTCAAGGCTAGTTCTAAGATTTTCAAGAAATCAATCCAATCACAGTTTTGTGGAATATGTTTCATGGTGGTAGGTTTTTGCCTAAACAATACTACCAACTGCAAATACCAAAGTGTCTTAGCCAGCCTCTGTAATAACCACTTTCTAAACAACCCATCCATGTGTATGGATGTGTAAGGAAGTGCAGCAGACATTGTTGCTCCGTTGATGGCTTTATGATGTGCCAAAGTTCTGTGATTCATTGTTCTGTCACAGTAGAGCTTTAAGAAACATCTTCAGGGCTTTTTAGCAAACCAGATGGTACTATCCTTGAGCTCAAAAGGGAAGAACCCCCACCCCTCTGTGAATTCATGTTTCATTAATGCATTCAAGAAGAAAAATAAATTGATTGCCTGAAAATTTCTGGGAACTCAAAATAAAAGTTTGCTTCTTTCTCTTCCCTGGGAGCCAGTGTGGTGTAGTGGTTAAGAGAGGTGGACTCGTAATCTGGTGAACCGGGTTCGCGTCCCCGCTCCTCCACATGCAGCTGCTGGGTGACCTTGGGCTAGTCACACTTCTCTGAAGTCTCTCAGCCTCACTCACCTCACAGAGTGTTTGTTGTGGGGGAGGAAGAGAAAGGAGATTGTTAGCCACTTTGAGACTCCTTAGGGTAGTGATAAAGCAGGATATCAAATCCAAACTCTTCTCTTCTCTTCTTCTTCCCTTCCACTGTGTTGCCCATGACACTTCCTCACAAAATGTTTCTGGGCAACTGATTCTGTGTGCTCTGCACACACAAGACATGGTGGGTGGGTGACCTTCCCTGTGATAGCTGGAAGCCCAATGACAGGTGTTTCAGCTGGATCACCATGACTTAGGCAGTGCAAAACAGCAACTCTACAGTTCTTATGTCTCACCTTGAATTGATTCCTGTTTTCTACAATATGATCTCCACACACCTTCCAGTTTAGTGCCTGGGTGCTGAGTCAGCATGGCAGAAGCATCATTGCTACAAGCTAATTGCTGTAAAGGTCTAGGAATGGAAACCAACTGCCTGCATACTTTCCCCTACCATCTCAGCAACCAAAGACAATTCAGCAGCCATATTCAACTAAGTCCTCACCTGCACGATACATTCAAAGCGGTACAATACTGCTTTAAACGTATAATGCGGATGGGACCTGAACAGTTGTGCTAGCAGAAATGAGCACAATGATTCCTGCTTGTGCAATTGGACTTTCCCCTTCTCCTCCTGCACACACACCCCTGCAACCGTCCCCAAATCTGCTCCAGAGGGTCAGAAGGACCCCAAGAACAGTGTGCAAAGGGGGAAGAGGGGAGCAGAAATGGAATGATCTCAGCACTACGTTGAATACAACCCAAAGTTCTTATTGCTAGTAGATTCAACAAAGCCTCATTCCATTCTTCTGTTGAGAAGGTACAGACTCCTTTAAACCATTCCTCATAGGACTTGTTTTCAGGGTTTCTCGTTTTTCTTAAAATGTGGGATCCAGAACCGGACCCAGAACTGGCTTTATCCATGCCTAGAGTAGAACTACACCCCTGTTCAAATTCCATTCCCCCCCGTGTGAGGAGAATGACATGAGGGAGATACCTTGCTCCACCTTCCTGTCTCCATCCTTGTAACCTGAGTGACAGGCAAATGTCTGCAGTGAGGATCCAACAAGCCATCAGTGCAGGATGAAGGGTTACAGTGCCTGAATGGAGCTAACAACTTTCGTGATCCGCACACCATGCTTCTGTTAATGCAGCTTATGACTGCATCGGTTGCCAACATGTTCAAATGGAAAGTTTCTTAGCCTCAGGACACGAAATGAAGTGGCCAAATGAATGCGTAATGGAATTCAGGGGACTGGGGCTATTTAATTGTCCCAGCGTTTTCCTGGAATCAAGAAGGATGTCCACAGCATGAAAACAAGGCTGGACACAAATAGATTCTCCATAAAGCAGGAGAAAGGCCATGCATGGAGAAAAGATAGCAGATGTGGGCCTCTCCCTGATGATGGGAGGCTTAGGAGACGTGGTAGAGAAAGGGCTGTGGCTCAGCAATAAAGCAGAACGTCCCCTGTTGAAGTCCCAGCATTTCCAAGTAGGCCTGAGAGACAATTCCTGTCTGAAACCCTGGAGAACCATTGCCAATCAGTGTGGGCAGAACTGCGATAGATGCACCAGTGGTCTGATGCTGGTTGGAGAGAAACACCTGCCTGAGATCTTGGAGAGCAGCTGCCAGTCATTGTGGAGAGAAATGAGCTAGTGAACCATTGGTCTAACTGTGTGCATAGGGCAGCTTCCTATGTGCCTATGAGGGATGATTGACAGCAAGCTCCTGCACTGTTTATATAGCTGCCGTCATGGAGAGCCAAAGGAAACCCATCAAGAGAGTGAGACGGAGCAGAAAGGAGCAAACAGGGGAGTATTTCTTAGCTGCCTTCAAAGTGACTGGAAAACTAGGAGGATTCCAGGGTCAGGGGACTCACCCCAACATGAGATAGTGAAAGCCACTTTGAAATGCCATCCAACCCAGAGCTCTTCATGTCCTTTATCTTTATCTTTGTAGCTCTTCCTTGCTCCCAGGGAATATGATGCTGATCTTTGCGTATTTGAGATCCACCTGCATTGCTCTTGTGCAATTGTCTTAGCCACACCAAGTGAAAGGCTGGGGGACTTGGTGGGAGTGACTCAAGCCCTAGTGGTAGAATTGGCTAGGCCAAGGGAGATGAACCTTTCTCAGACATAATAACAATAACAATAACAACAACAACAACTATACACATATAAAATCTGTTTAGAACATATAAATAATTATCATAAAAAGAGCATAACACCAGCCCTTTCATTAAAAACAGTCAGTTTCCATTTCCAAAAGCCAGTTAGAACAAGAAGGTATTCACCTGCTGGCAGAAGGAGAACAAGGAGGGAGCCAGTCGAGCTTCTCTAGGGAGGGAGTTCCAGAATCTGGGAGCAGCCATCAAGAAGGCCCTCTCCTGCATCCCCACCAAGTATGCCTGTGAGGGTGACAGGACTCAGAGAAGGGCTTCCCCCAAAGATCTCAAAACCTGGGCAGGTTTGTATGAGAGAATGTGTTCTTTCAGATAAAGGTAACTGACCATTAGGTCCAGTTGTGGCCGACTCTGGGGTTGCGGCGCTCATCTCGCTTTACTGGCCGAGGGAACCAGCGTACAGCTTCCGGGTCATGTGGCCAGCAGGACTAAGTCGCTTCTGGCGAACCAGAGCAGCACACGGAAATGCCGTTTACCTTCCCACCAGAGCGGTACCTATTTATCTACTTGCACTTTGACGTGCTTTCGAACTGCTAGGTTGGCAGGAGCAGGGACCGAGCAACGGGAGCTCACCCCATCATGGGGATTTGAACCGCCGACCTTCTGATTGGCAAGTCCTAGGCTCAGTGGTTTAACCCACAGCGCCACCCGCGTCCCTGTTCTTTCAGATAGTCTGGCCCTAAACCTAATAGGGCTTTATAGGTGATTTGCACCTGGAAACAGACCCTATTGACTTGCACCTGGAAACAGACCAGAAGCCAGTGAAGCTTTTCTAGTAAGGAAGAAGAAGAAGAGTTTGGATTTGATATCCCACTTTATCACTACCCAAAGGATTCTCAAAGCGGCTAACATTCTGCTTTCCCTTCCTTCCCCACAACAAACACTCTGTGAGGTGAATGGGGCTGAGAGACTTCAGAGAAGTGTGACTAGCCCAAGGTCACCCAGCAGCTGCATGTGGAGGAGCGGAGACGTGAACCCAGTTCCCCAGATTACAAGTCTACCGCTCTTAACCACAACACCACACAGTTGTATGCCCCCTATAACCAGCCCTGGTCAGTAATCTGGCTTCAACTCTTTGAGCCTGTTGAAAATTCTGAACCCTTTTCAAAGGCGGACCTACGTACAGTACATTACAGTAATCCAAACAGGATGCAAAACTAAGGCATGTGTCACTGTGGCCAAATTAGACATCCTATTTAAACTCTAATCAGGGTTGCTCCCCATGTTGCAATGCGTCAATGCATCTGGCTGTTAACCAGAAGGCTGGTGGTTCGAGCCCACCCAGGAACAGCGGTGGTCAGGATTCCTGCATTGCAGGGGGTTGGGCTGGATGACCCAGCTCTACTATTCCACGATTCTATTATTTCCATCCCCGAATCGATTTGGGGCCTGCCATTTTCCACTGCATTTTCCTACCATTTTTCTTATTGTAAAAAGTCCAACTTGGGGAATGGATTTGCTGTGCAAGAATGCCAGATCAGTGTTAATTGGGCAGCCTGAATTTGCCGATAAAATATTATCAGTCCTGCTCACAATCTCATAGAGACCACACAATGTAAGTTAAACACAGTGGCGTAACGTGGGTTGCTGGCACTCAGAGCAGGCAAGCTGCTGATGCCACTGGAGTGCTCCCCCCCATCCAAGCCCATCAGGGCTACGCCGTGCCGCCTGCATGCCTGCACAGGGGGGTGTCCAGCCAGCCAACATGGCCCTTGGTGGGTGAATCCCCCAATGCCCATGGAGAGGAGCGCCAGGCCGGGCTGCGATGGGGTTGCCCCTTGCCCACCTCCCTCCCTCCATGCATCCTCACCACAGGCCAGAGATGCTTTGCCAGGGTGGGGCAGGGATCCCCATAGAAGCCGGCACCTGCATGGGGGTGCCTGGCTGCACCCCCTCATAAATGCTACACCGTGGTTAAACATGTGCAGCCCATAATAGAAGATAAGAAAGACTCAGCTCCTTCCCAGGCTGCAGAAGCTGAGGGCTGGCCTTTCTCAGGTTCTGAGTTTCAACTGTTTTAATCTATTTCACATTTTTCTCCTGCAACAGAAGCGAATGGGCTGCTTCAGTGATTTAAACGTTTATATCTCTGGGACAACCTAATCCGACTGAACTATTTGAGCTCTCCTTTGTTGGTGTGCTTTGTTCCAGGCCAGGTAAATAGATAAGACAAGCCATTACTGAAATCATTATGGGCTGGATCATTACCCAGAATACCATCTGCTGGTATTTTATCAAGCTTCCTCCTATTAAACTGCCATTAAATTGCTTCTGATCTTCCCTTATGGGCAGAGGATAAATCAGTTCACTTGACAGATACGTGGGAAGTCAGGTAACAATTTTTTAATTGTTTCTGCTACCATCAGGTGTCAGTCACGATCTATTTAATACACAATAGAACTTTAATTAAATGTATTCTAAAGAATCGTGTCTTATCAATGGCCAGGGACACTACCAAGCTGGGGAGGGGGAGCTGGCATGGAGGCAGTGGAGGAGGAAGGATGTGTATGAGAACAGAAATATCAATGGCAGTATATCCAATATAACTGATGAATAGTTAGACTGTTATGTCTTCATTTCTGCTGTCAGGAAGGAAACAGGAGCTTCTGGTGGCAGCTACCAAGTCACAGTGGTAACGTAACACATTTTCCAGTGAAATCCACAACTCTTGCAGCTGTAGGACGTCTACTAAGGCTGCCCTGTCCTGTTAGTTTGCAAACTTTCAGGGAATGCTCTTTTATTTTTTACTTTTATTCCAAGGAATTGCTGAGCATCTGCAATTGAACTCCAGCGCATTGCAAACAATTCTGGGAAATGTCCCCAGAAGCTCACCCAGTGAGGCCTTTGGACCCCTCCATTGCCCCACATGACCTGAGCATGTGACTTCAAACACATCCATTGGGGGTTCACCTCCCCATTGCTGAGTTAAGATCAGTGGTAGCAGCCAAGCTCTCCTTCAGGGGTGCTTCTCTGCCCTATGGCCATTGTCCATTGCCTATACCTCAGAGCAGGGTAAAACAGGACTGAAGCAAGGGTACCTTGGAGCTGGTGTGAGATTGAGCTCTGTGCTGGATCTAGGGCAAGTTAGAGCTGCCTATGAGAGCCTGATGGGGAGCTGTTTCCTCTGCAAAGACCCAGAAGAGTCCAGGAGATTTATATCCTCTCAGAAAACTCCTCCTGCTTCCTGGGGAAGGCGTGCAACTAAGTGGAAGAGCATCTGCTTTCCATGCAGATCCATGTCAGGTTAAATCCCCAGCATTTCTAGGTAGTACTTGGAGTATTTTTTGTCTGAAACCCTGGAGAGAAATCCAGTCAATATACTATAGACGATACTGTGTTACATTCATTTTATGAACTTTTTGGCACATCTGAGTACTTGTGACATGGTCATAACTTGGGCTAAGGAGGGTGGTGGATTTCCCCCCCTGCTTACCATCATATTCAGCTGCAAGCTCATCCATAGAATGAAGTTTATTTCCACGGGATTCTGTTGAATTAACCACAAATGCTTCTGGTTAGTTATATATCTGTCCCAATGCAAAGTTTCCACCACTATATTGTGACTGGAATTATTCCCAAGAAGCAATGTATGTGGGAAATATTACACTGGAACTGAAAATCCACATGGATTTTCCAGGAAAGATGCGTCAGCAGAATACTGAATTCTTGTTGGGTCTAATATGAGGATAAGAGAGATACTATCTGGAAATATTGTGGTATTAATCTTAGCAGGACAGCTGCGGATTGCAATTTATTGTGGGGAAATCAAGGTGTCTTTGTAGTTTAACATTTGCTTCACCATTCACAAACACTTCTGTGAATGAAAAAATCACGCCAGTGGAGAACATGCTATACCCTTCTGCTGGGGTGTCATAACAGCATCCTAAGCAGATGTGCCAGTACAAGTATTTATGGATTATGCTGATAGTATTTCACTGTTGCAATTAAGAGCTGTTTAAGCTAAATATTTTGATGACATATATATACTGGATTTCCTGAGGGCACCTGTTTCGAAGACTCGGTCATAAGTCATGCAAGACTTCCCTACTCAATTTTCCTTAATATTTCCGGTAACCAGTTGCTCATGAGTCACCGTACAATATCAGAACCGATACCTCCTTTAGGGCACCTTATACTTTTGTAAAAAAGAGAGAATGGTTTGCTCTGTGATTAATGTTGTTGAAGGATTTGTGGGCAACACCCCCCCCCAAAACAGCAAACCTTAAATATAGCATGCTATAATAATGTAGATTTTTACAGCTACCTGTTTTGATTATTTATTGTCTGTTGGCATATATATTGTCCCTTTCAGGCTGTGGTTCCAGTGAAATGCTGTGCTCAAAGTTTACATTTAACTGAGATGAAGTAAATATTGGAGAGCAGGGAGTAATATCTGCAGTGTTAGAGGCTTGAAAAAAAATAACACACTGTTACCTTTAAACACATTTTCACACTGCCTAGAAGAGGCAAAAAGAGAGGGTCTTCTATGGGTTTTCTCAGAATACAAACTATTTGTACAAGTGAAACATGCTGAGAAGATGAAGACACTTGGCCACACTCCCCAAAATAATTATTATTTGCATCCTTGGTCATTTTAGCAACATTAGGACACCCATTTACAAAAAAACAACAAACCACCAGTTTTTATTTTTCACCACCATATAAGGTGCAACCAGAAGTTGAATCATAACAATGTAAGATGATCCCTGCTGGCCCACCTTGTATAGCATGCTGTTCTCACAGTGGCCAGCCAAATGCTTAACAGAAGCCTTTGTGCAGGAGCGGAGTGCAAGAGCACTGCTCTCCATCTGTGATTCCCAGCAAGTGGTATTCAGAGGCCTCCTCTGCTGAAGGAACAACATACCATCTTGGCCAGCAGCCACTGAATGTCCTCCATGGATAACCTGGGGCAGTTCATAAGTGCTTCTCTTAAGGATGGCCGAGGACAGGGAGACTAAAATCCAAATGCAGTTAGTTCACTGGCCATTCTACCCATACCCCATCTTTCTGTTGGGGGTGGGAGTTATTGAGAGGGTGATTACTACCTAGCTTCTGAGGCAGTTGGAAGTTCTGCTGGTTTCTTTGACCTCTGCCAGTGCAACATTTGCTATGGGCATGGCACTTTGAATGCACCATTGGTCTTGACAAAGGACCTCTGTTAAGGAGATCCATAAGCACCTTATCATTCTTACTCATTGTTTTGGTGACCTTTGACAGTAGCTGGCATGACCAGCTGGCATGACTTCAGGCCATGGGTGATTCAGGGATTCACGTAGTGAAACAAAGGGGTTCACTACATGAAATCATTAAAATGGCAGCACAAGGCAACTCCCACAATGTGTGATTCAGTAGCTAAAGACATCTTGTTTGCCTACTTTGGCAAAAAGGATGGGCAGTTGTTACATCTTAATGTAGGCTGAATGCATGTACATGTTGGAGCAGGATTGTTTGCATGTTGAGGTTATATTGATTCATGCACAGTAGGAGGGGGGAGTAGCTGCTCTCCTCTTAGTTCAGTCATTCTACATGCAAGTAACCTCTTCACAACAGGTTGGACAACAAGGACTAGCTGTTGTTCAACAACTGTTGCAATGCATTTCTTTGTTGCATAACCTTTAAACTCTGTCCTTCTCTAGAACAAGGTCTCTTGAACTAATGGACAGAGAACACTGGATATGGCCCAGAGAGATTTAGTCCTATGTAGAACGAACCCATTGGAATCAATATGATTAACAAGTCATTCTGATTTCATTGAGGCTACACATGACTACATGTGGATCCAGCCCGCTGTTTTTTACCAAATACAATTATCAAACAGTTTAAGGGACAAAACTGTTATGGAGTACAATGCAGAAGGTCCACCCCCCTCTCCTCTTTTCTTTTATTTGTTTGCTATCACCTTCTCTTGCATTTTTTCTGGCATGTTCCTTGTACACAATCTGTTTCTGTAATGGAAAAAGGAAACAGAGGGTGATCTCACATTTCTGCAAAATGTCTTAAACTGCTTCATCTCTCTTCATTCAAACTTCACTATCCAAACATCTCATAATATGAATGCAAAAGACTACAGCCTCTTCCCACTCAGGAAAGATTAAATTGCAGAGTGATGTTGAGGAGATCGCATTACCAAAACCGCAGAGAGAAAATTAGAGAACAGCAATGTAGCGTTATGATAATAATTAAAATCTAAATGGTCTTGGCAAAGGAATGAAGAAAATGGATTTTGCAAAGTAGTTATCCTTCCTCTTTCTAATTTGCAAGTTTTGCCAACTTGATTCAAACCCATGCCA